AGTTAACTGGGTAAGATGTATCTGCTTGTTGTAGAGGCCTCTGTTATTGTGGAGGAGTGAGTATACTTGGGAGGAAGGGAAGTGGAACCTCAGGACTAAAGTAGTGGGAGAAGCAGGGGAGGTAGGCCAGCCATCAATCCCTGGAGGAATCAGAGTGTGTTTGGATGGAGTCTGGGGAGGCGAATCTGGTATGAAGTTACTAACACCCAGTTGCAGGGGTGAAGTCCTGGGTAGAGGAGAGATAGTGGACTCAGTCCTGCAAGGCTAAAGTGGTGGGAGGGGCGAGGAAGCGTGTCTGGGATTCCTTGGCCAATCGAAGAGGACTGGGGCAGGGCCTGTCATTCACCATATAACTGAGGGGTTCCGCGCAGGAAGGCTAACCTTGTCTAGAGTGCTAAGCGGTGTCAGTGCAGCCCTCTACCTTTCTTTGATCTTCCAGCTTTTGAGTGAGGACATGAGTCTCCGCCGAGTCAGAGGACTATGGGGATAGGAAGGCTTTGAGGCTGTGGGGCAGACAAATCGGGCCTGCAGGAATTGGAGGGGAGGAGATTAGGACGGACGATTTGTAGGGGCACCTCCTGTCTAGTCCACACCTTCACCTTCGCAACGCCGCCTTCTGAGCAGGATTTGGATCCCTCTTGGGTTGGTCCCTGGCAGGTCCAAGGCGGGAGCCCCAGGAGCGGCCATCCACTTCGGCTGTAGGTCTGATGCTGAGGGGACAAAGAGTTTGGGACTCGGAATGGGCCCTCTGGGACTGGCCCTTCGCTCCCTCCCCTCCTGTGACTGCTAGGTTGGACTAGGCTACCAACAATGATGATAGTTATTTGAAAATGTAAGCAAATTGCTGCTAACAACATGGCTTATGGGCCCGGCCCTGTTATTTTTTATTTAAAGTCCTTGTTTCCCCACCTCTGGAGATTGGCAGCTGATCGCTTCTCCAGGAGGGTCCTAGGGTGACCACGATGGAGGGGAGGCATATTCGGGACGTCTGGTTGCTTGGGGGCCTCTCCATTCTCGTCTGGGCACTAGAAGTGTCTTATTCCACTGGGGTGAGACCATACATGGGCAGGAGAGCTCTGCTTTCTGGGCTCAGAGGTCTCCTATTGTCACCTCTGGACAAACCCAGAATGATCACTGGGCACCTAACCTCCTAGCTTCACCTCCTCCTCTCTCTTCTTGAGGAGAAAACATGGTAAAATAAAAATCGACTCTGTTTGGTTTATCTCATTCTGCTAAAGTTCTTGGTTTGATCATAATTAGATGTGCCATCTTACAGCATTTACAAACCAGTCCCACCAGGAGGTATTGTGAGACATGTCATTAGTTTTGATTGGATTTAATCCCTCCTTTTATTGCAGAAGCGTGCTGGCTGTGATGGACCACAAAGAAGTGTGGCCGTGAGGAGCTGCCCCTCGCCCAAGGTCAGGGGTAGCGACCGAGAGCGCCAGGCTGCGACAGCACAGGAGCGGTGGCTGAGAGGAGCTACCCCACCTCCGAGGTCAGGGGCGGCACCCTAGAGGAGCTACCCCACCTCCAAGGAGCGACTGTTGCCTGGTGCAGGAGGGCTGAGACGACTACTCTATGTTCAAGGTCAGGAGGGGCGGCCATGAGAAGATACTCCTCCTCCAAGGTAAGGAGCAGTGGCTGTGCTTTGCTAGAGCAGATGTGAAGAGATACCCCACATCCGAGGTAAGAGAAACCCAAGTAAGATGGTAGGTGTTGTGAGAGGGCATCAGAGGGCAGACACACTAAAACCATAATCACAGAAAACTAGCCAATCTGATCACAGGACCACAGTCGTGTCTAACTCAATGAAACTAAGCCATGCCATGTGGGGCCACACAAGACAGTCAGGTCATGATGGAGAGGCCTGAAAGAATGTGGTCCACTGGAGAAGGGAATGGCAAACTACTTCAGTATTCTTGCCTTGAGAACCCCATGAACAGTATAAAAAGGCAAAATGATAGGATACTGAAAGAGGAACTCCCCAGGTGCCCAATATGCTACAGGAGATCAGTGGAGAAATAACTCCAGAAAGAATGAAGGGATGGAGCCAAGCAAAAACAGTACCCAGTTGTGGATGTGACTGGTGATAGAAGAAAGGTCCGATGCTGTAAAGAGCAATATTGCATAGGAACCTGGAATCTTAGGTTCATGAATCAAGGCAAATTGGAAGTGGTCAAACAGGAGATGGCAAGAGTGAATGTCGACATTCTAGGAATCAGCGAACTAAAATGGACTGGAATGGGTGAATTTAACTCAGATGAAAATTATATCTACTACTGTGGGCAGGAATCCCTTAGAAGAAATGGGGCAGCCCTCATAGTCAACAGAAGAGTCCGAAATGCAGTACTTGGATGCAATCTCAAAAACAACAGAATGATCTCTGTTCGTTTCCAAGGCAAACCATTCAATATCACGGTAATCCAACGTATGCCCCAACCAGTAATGCTGAAGAAGCTGAAATTGAATGGTTCTATGAAGACCTACAAGACCTTATAGAACTAACACCAAAAAAAGATGTCCTTTTCATTATAGGGGACTGGAATGCAAAAGTGGGAAGTCAAGAAACACCTGGAGTAACAGGCAAATTTGGCCTTGGAGTACAGAATGAAGCAGGGCAAAGGCTAATAGAGCTTTGCCAAGAGAATGCACTGGTCATAGCAAACACCCTTTTCCAACAACACAAGAGACGACTCTACACATGGACATCATCAGATGGTCAACAACGAAATTGGATTGATTATCTTCAGCAAAATCAAGATGAGGAGCTGACTGTGGCTCAGATCATGAACTCCTTATTGCCAAATTCAGACTTAGACTGAAGAAAGTAGGGAAAACCACTAGACCATTGAGGTATGACCTAAACCAAATCCCTTATGACTATACAGTGGAAGTGAGAAATAGATTTAAGGGACTAGATCTGATAGATAGAGAGCCTGATGAACTATGGAAGGAGGTTTGTGACATTGTACAGGAGACAGGGATCAAAACCATCCCATGGAAAAGGAATGCAAAAAGGCAAAATGGTTGTCTGAGGAGGCCTTACAAATAGCTGTGAAAAGAACAGAAGTGAAAAGCAAAGGAGAAAAGGAAAGATATCCCCATTTGAATGCAAAGTTCCAAAGAATAGCCAGGAGAGACAAGAAAGCCTTCCTCAGTGATCAATGCAAAGAAATAGAGGAAAACAACAGAATGGGAAAGACTAGAGATCTCTTCAATAAAAGTAGAGATACCAAGGCAACATTTTAGGCAAAGATGGGTTCGATAAATGACAGAAATTGTATGGACCTAACAGAAGCAGAAGATATTAAGAAGAGATGGCAAGAATACACAGAAGAACTGTACAAAAAAGATCTTTATGAGCCAGATAATCACAATGGTGTGATCACTCACCTAGAGCCAGACATCCTGGAATGTGAAGTCAAGTGGGCCTTAGAAAGCATCACTATGAACAAAGCTAGTGGATGTGATGGAATTCCAGTTGAGCTATTTCAAATCCTGAAAGATGATGCTGTGATAGTGCTGCACTCAATATGCCAGCAAATTTGGAAAACTCAGCAGGGGCCACAGGGCTGGAAAAGGTCCATTTTCATTCCAATCCCTAAGAAAGGCAATGCCAGAGAATGCTCAAACTACCGGACAATTGCACTCATCTCACACGCTAGTAAAGTAATGCTCAAAATTCTCCAAGCCAGGCTTCAGCAATACGTGAACCGAGAACTTCCAGATGTTCAAGCTGGTTTTAGAAAAGGTAGAGGAACCAGAGATCAAATTGCCAATATCCACTGGATCATCAAAAAAGCAAGAAAGTTCCAGAAAATCATCTATTTCTGCTTTATTTACTATGCCAAAGCCTTCGACTGTGTGGATCACAATAAACTGTGGAAAATTCTGAAAGAGATGGGTATACCAGACCAGCTGACCTGCCTCTTGAGAAACCTGTATGCAGATCAGGAAGCAACAGTCAGAACTGGACGTGGAACAACAGACTGGTTCCAAATAGGAAAAGGAATACGTCAAGGCTGTATATTGTCACTCCGCTTATTTAACTTCTATGCAGAGTAAATCATGAGAAATGCTGGGCTGGAAGAAGCACAAGCTGGAATCAAGATTGATGGGAGAAATATCAATAACCTGAGATATGCAGATGACAGCACCCTTATGGCAGAAAGTGAAGAGGAACTAAAGAGTCTCTTGATGAAAGTGAAAGAGGAGAGTGAAAAAGTTGGCTTAAAGCTCAACATTCAGAAAACTAAGATCATGGCATTTGGTCCCATCACCTCATGGGAAATAGATGTCCGTGTCAGATTTTATTTTTTTAGGCTCCAAAGTCAACCTCTTGCGAAGAGTTGATTCATTGGAAAGAACCTTGATGCTGGGAGGGATTGGGGGCAGGAGGAGAAGGGGACGACAGAGGATGAGATTGCTGGATGGCATCACTGACTTGTTGGGCATGAGTTTGAGTAAACTCCAGGAATTGGTGATGGACAGTGAGGCCTGGCTTGCTGCGATTCATGGGGTCGCAAAGAGTCAGACACGGCTGAGTGACTGAACTGAACTGAACTTTATTGTAGCCACTTAGTCTCCTGTCTTCAGGCAGATGAAATAGAAAGAAACTAGTCAAATTAATGCTACATTTGTATGCTGCTCCCTAAACCCTCAAGAAAAATGTTCCTCTCTCTAATAATTGAATACAAAATGAAGGTGCTCAAATAGTGCTATCTCCTGTTACAAATTCATTAGTTGGTCAAACCCAGGTTTTATTTTTTATTCTATCCCTCTCTTCTCATGTGTTTCTATTACCTCCATTTTACCTTTGCTGTGATTTTAAAAGTCTGACATACTGGCTCCTGGCTTTTAGAACATATTGGTTTCTAGTGCACTTGATGCAATGGCCTTTTGAAAATCAGCAGGTAAAATACATATTGACATTAAATATGAGAATTTCGGCTCTTACTCCTTAGTATGATAATAGTTCTACCAGGGCAGTTTTTTAAATGTTTCTTTTCTATCTTTTGGTCAACATGAGTGATAAGTCAGACTTGTCTGAAGTAGAGGAGTCTGACAGGTCCAAACTGATTAAAACTAATACTAAAGAAAAAGTGCTCTTCCCTCAAAGGTAAGTAAGTCATGGGGAGTTTCTATTTGAGACAAACAATGATGAAAATTAATAGGTTTGGTAAATACATGCTTCTAGCAATTTTTGCCACAAAGTAAACAATAGGCTACCAATTATTTAATGTAACATTTTGTTTGTTGTTCAGTCATGGCTGACCCTTTGTAACCCCATGAACTGTTGCTCCCAAGGCTTTTCTGCTCATTTACTTCTCCAGGCAAGAATACTATAGTGAATTGCCATTTCTATTCCAGGGGATCTTCTTGACCCAGGGATTGAACCCATGCCTCCTGCACTGCAGACAGATTCTATACCTTCTGATCAACCAGGGAAGCCCAATGTAACATTAGAAAATAGCACATAGTTGCCTTTTTACTTAGATTATATAAGTAGTCCTTGCAAAATAGGCCAGCATTCCTATACACTAACAACGAGAAAACAAAGAGAAATTAGAGAAACAATTCAGTTAATCATTGCAATGAAAAGAATAAAATACTTAGGAATAAATCTACTTAAAGAAATGAAAGATCTGTATATAGAAAACTATAACACACTGATGAAAGAAATCAAAGATGACACAAATAGATGGAGAAAATACCATGTTTATGGATCAGAAGAATCAACATAGTGAAAATGAGTATACTATCCAAAACAATCTATAGATTCAGTGCAACTCCTATCAAGTTACCAATGGTATTTTTTCAGAGAACTAGAACAAATAATTTCACAATTTGTATTGAAATACAAAAACCCTGAAATAGCCAAGGCAATCCTGAGAAAGAAGAATGGACCTGGAGGAATCAACCTGCTTAACTTCAAGCTATACTACAAAGCCACAGTCATCAAGACAGTATGGTACTGGCAAAAAGACAGAAATATAGATCAATGGAATAGAATATAAAGCCCAGAGATAAATCCACGCACCTATGGACACGTTATCTTTGACAAAGGAGGCAGGAATATACAATGGAGAAAAGATAATCTCTTTAACAAGTGGTGCTGGGAAAACTGGTCAACCACCTGTAAAAGAATGAAACTGAAACAATTTCTAACACCATACAAAAAATAAACTCAAAATGGATTAAAGATCTAAATGTAAGACCAGAAACTATAAAACTCCTAGAGGAAAACATAGGCAAAACACTCTCTGACATAAACCACAGCAGGATCCTCTATGACCCACCTCCCAGAATATTGGAAATAAAAGCAAAAATAAACAAATGGGACCTAATTAAACTTAAAAGATTTTGCATAACAAAGGAAACTATAAGCAAGGTGAAAAGACAGCCTTCAGAATGGGAGAAAATAATAGCAAATGAAGCAACTGACAAAGAATTAATCTCAAAAATGTACAAGCAGCTCATGCATCTCAATACCAGAAAAATTAATGACCCAATTAAAAAATAGGCCAAAGAACTAAACAGACATTTCTCCAAAGAATACATACAGATGGCTAACAAACACATGAAAAGATGCTCAACATCACTTGTTAACAGAGAAATACAAATCAAAACCACAGTGAGGTCCCATCTCATGCCGGTTAGAATGGCTGCTATCGGGATGAGATGGGGAGGGAGGTGGGAGGGGGGTTTCAGGATGGGGAACACATGTACACCCATGGCTGATTCATGTCAATGTATGGCAAAAATCACTACAATATTGTAAAGTAATTAGCCTCCAATTAAAATAAATTAACTAATTTAAAAATATGGGTCTTAGTAGTATTGAGGAAATATAAAAACTGATTTTTTGTTGGAACATTACAAAGAATCAAATTATAACCAATCTTAAAATATTGGACATAACATTAGAACTGTAAGAGTTTTGTCCAATTTTGGCTATTTGTCATTTTTCTGCATCTAGCATTTTGGGTCTTTTATCTCATCCATAATGAATCATGCAAACTATGATTTTGGCCTTTTCTACCTCATGACAGGATGAGGTGAGATAATCAGTTTAAATATTGGGTATACTCAAGTCTCCCAGGGATCAAGGGATCAATTTGGCCCTCCTCACTTACAGCCTGCTGGAGAAACTCCAAGCCAAGGGAAACGTTTTGTCATGTAATTTATCTGAAAGTTTCAAAGTTAGTCAGGATTGTCTGAAAAGGCTTACCTTTCTAATTGTATAGTGATAGATGATTCTGAAGAAAATGCTTCACTTGCCCTGCAGTCTCAGAGCAATCTGTGGAAAAAATGAAAACAGCATATATCTACCTCTCAAATGGGGAAAAAGAAATCTGCAGCTGAGTCTAACAAAGGTTTTGTTCATTACATTGCACACACACATACGTCACTGAGGATTTGTGGTTAGTGCCTTGGCATTCTAAGTTTAAAGAAGCTATGGCAGCCTCCCTGGTGACTCAGACAGTAAAGAATTCACCTGCAATGGGAAGACAGGTTCGATCCCTGGTTTGGGAAGATTCACCTGAAGAAGGGAATGACAATCCACTCCAGTATTCTTGCCTGGGAAATCCCATGGACAGAAGAGCCTGGAGAGCTACAGGTCATGGGATTGAAGAGTTGAACACGGCTGAGAGACTAACACTTTGCTTTTTATGGCAGCCTCCAATGATTTGGCAATGAGCTCTTTTGGAAGAAATTGAACTTAATCTTAGGAAAATACCCTCATAATATTTTTGTGTGTGTGTTTGCTTTTCTCCCAGCTATCCAGCAGGAGAAAGAGTGTGCTGAAATGTAAAATGTGGACCTCCTCACAAGAGCAAATTTCAACATTGCTTGAATTTTTCTTTTGGCAAATCTTTGTAGAGATTTTAGGTATCTTCTGATGTCTTTTCACCCATAAACCCTGGCTAAGAGGTCAGGGGGAGCCAATGTCCCTGAGTCTTAACAGTTCCACTGGTACATAAATTCCAGCAGGCAGATGTTGTCAGTAATCTCACAACTGATTATCTTTGTGTGCAGTCTTTGAACTCCCATAGGATAAGCTGCTTTTAGCTTTCTACGAGGATTCCCTCTATTGCTTCATAATCCTTAGGTTCCATGGTTTTGCATCGTCTCACCATTTTTTTTATTTCTAATGAAGCAGTAAAATAAAAATATGTTTATTTATTACTATTATAGACCAATAGGTTTATCATGGGCTCCTGTGGTTAATTTCTGGTTGTCTTCTAAGGAATGAAAGTGCACAAGGGTACTTTTCAGCCAAATAAAATGAGTGCAGAAAAACTATTTTAGCAGATTTGGCACATGGGAAAGGCCCCTTCTGTCCAGATCAAGTGGGTCCTGACTTGGGGATTGTGTGGCTGAACCACACCAATTCCATTTTGTCAGTTCCATCTTAATTCACACAGCCCTAACCTCCCCTCTTTTCACATGATTGAGCTTTAGCCTAATTTACAAGCAGTGAGTCCAAGCCAGATGAGTACCCTATCAACTTTTGCCCTTGCCTTCATCTGATATGAAACCTGCAAGAATGGTTTTTGCTGACGTAGATGGTTAATGGTCATGAAACCCCTGAGGGGAGGAACCTAGATTCCAGTTGCTGCACCTGTGCTTCTGTCTTGGTAGTCAGATTCTACTTTTAGCTTTGGCCCCTTTGAATTCTCTTGTACCCTTTTTGGAGGTCAGTGTGCAGTGCAGCTGTGAATCTCTCTGGATTATCTGTCCACTCTATCCTTTGTTCCTTTATGTAAGTTACCCACAGTGAACTTCATAATTGCACTTTATGGCATTGCTCCCTCTGTCTTTTTGGTGTCAAAGTTCCTTCTTAGTTTGCAGGATATTATTCAATATGTGTGCCTCCCAACATGGATACTAAGTGCTTTTCCTGGAAGTTAGAATCATAGAGATAGAGAGCCTTGGGGGAAGATGTCATGTGCACTAGCCCCTTTGTCTCAGAAATGAAGAAATGAAAACAAAGGGTCTGTTTTGATCTTCTAAGGTGTATAAGGGCTAGAATTTTAGGTGGACTCTTCTTGCTTTTTGGAAAGTGCTTTTCAACTAAAGTCAGTGGACATGAAAGCCTGGGGTTAGATGGGGAGAGGCAAAAGGCTCTTGCTATCACCCACTTTGCTAAGCACATTACTTCTTTCATTGGACATCAGCTCAGATATGTACTACCTGATAATGAGCTGCAGCACAGAACTTTTGGCCTGGTTCTTGTCCTGAACAGAATTCACTGTTTTATGAACCAAGTGTTTTTGGTGTTTGTGGTGAGCACAGGTGCTATGAACCTAATTGGCTCCCCTGCAAAAAGTTAATATGTTGAAGCCCTAACCCCAAGTGTGACTGGATCTGGAGATAGGGTATTTATGTAATTAATTGAGATGGACAGAGGGGCATAATTGGATAGGATTGTGGCCATATGGAAGAGGAAGAGATATCAGATCGTTCCCCTCCATGTGAGGACCCAACAAGAAGATGACCACTAGCAAGATAGAAAGAGAGCTATCACCAAAAACTGACACTGCTAGATCTTGATTCCCAGATTTCCATCCTCCATAACTGTGAGAAAATGAACTTCTGTTGTTTATGCCACCTAGTCTACAGTATTTTGTTATGGCAAGCCTAGCTGACTAAGATAATCAAGAAAACAAATAAATAGATGAGTCCAGATGGCTGCCTTAAAATGATGCATTTATCACTTGAAATTTATAAGAACCAATCACCTATAATCCTACCAATTAGACATGTTAGCATTTAAGTGCCTAAGCATCTGCACTGTGGTATATTAATATTCATATATTTTCTGACTAAAGGGCATTCAGTCAGTTCAGTTCAGTTGCTCAGTCGTGTTCGACTCTTTGCGACCCCATGAATCACAGCACGCCAGGCCTCCCTGTCCACCACCAACTCCAGGAGTTTACTCAAACTCATGCCCATCAAGTCGGTGATGCCATTCAGCCATCTCATCCTCTGTCGTCCCCTTCTCCTCCTGCCCCCAATCCCTCCCAGCATCAGGGTCTTTTCCAATGAGTCAACTCTTCGCATGAGGTGGCCAAAGTACAGGATTTTCAGCTTCAGCATCAGTCCTTCCAATGA